ACACAATTTTTTTAGTCAGTATTAAATACAACTGGCAAAATAAATTATGAAAATATTTATGATGTGCTTCTGTTTTTTAATTCAGGAGATTATAAAAAAAATCCTTCATGTTATGAAAAGACCCTCTTCATTCAAGAGAAAACTCTGTTTTTTAAGAAAATGGCTGCTTATCAATTAATTTTTGGTCAGTGTAGACAATAAATCAACTTCAGATTTATAACTTGATTTTCCCTAATTTATACAGGAATGAAATTAATTTATATCTACTGATATTCTTGTAATTTAAACCTAATTTCCCTCTGGGATCAATAAAGTATTTTTGAATTTGAATTGAATTTGAATTAAGCGTTTTAATGATTTGGCCGATTAATCGAAAAAATAATCGACATATTAATCGATTATTAAAATAAGCGTTAGTTGCAGCCCTAGACCTGGCCCACCTAGACCGGGTAGGTCAGGTCCTTCAGAGGACCCAGGCCCTGAATTTGGACGCATTTTAGTTTAGTTTCAGCTCTGATTGGTTGAAAACAGACTCTCAACAGGAATGGATTTAGAGCTGCTCCTGGTGTTGGTCTTTAGTCTTATTCTTAATTATTAATAAGATCCAAGTTCTTTGTTACTTTCCTGATTGTTCACATATGACCTTGTGGTTATATTTAGTAAAGTTTACATACATTATTCACTCTCTCCTGTTGATTCTGTGCTTTTTTTAAATCAGACTACCTGTCAGGGTGTGTGGGTGAAGTACGATGGCCTCAGTCTCTCTACCCTGACCTGTTCATCCCCTCGTCCCCCTCATGGTCTCTTCAGTGGACCTACCGTGACTCTCAGCTGGTCAACCTGCCCGTCAGTCTGCTGGTGGAAGGAGATATCATCGCTTTGAGACCTGGACAGGAGGCGTTAGCTTCCCTCAGAGGCATCAAGGTGAGACTGCTGCTTATTAACAGTTTGTCCAGTTTTACAGTCTGACCTTGTTGAGCTCATTTAGACAAATACATCTCCAGCTAAAACTGACAGGTTTTACTCTGACTTGTCAAGGATATGGTATCTCAGCCCCAAATCATTTGGTGATTTAAGTTTGACCAAAAAATTGAGGAAAATCTTAAAGAAGGAATTTCATTTTTTAATGAAGGAAACTCAAACCTGTGATCAAGATCATAAACATATAAGAAGTGAAATATTCAGAAAAAGATAGTTTTGGTCATCACTTGCCACAGAAAGCTGCAGTATTGTACCTTATCTTCCATTTAAAAGTTAAAATAGCATGGTTATTTAATTGTAGATGATATAAACACATTGTAGTGTATCAGCACTGCCACTTTCATTAAGTGCTGTTCAATAAACTCTGCTCGGCTCGATGTTGTTTTATATCAGCTGCTGTAACAAGCAACAGTCTTCGGCTGCTTGTTTTGAAGCCAGACAAAACATTTGGAAGTAAGAACCAACCGTCTTTTACATCTGCATTATAAATACTCGTCATTTCATGTTTGTAGACTACCAAGAAATTTGGAGATTTGTGTCTGGACAAGTATGGATTTTTAAAATGGAAAACAAGGAACCATGATGAATTTACCCAACTTAATTCTCCCAAAGTAAATTTTACAACAAAAACAACTGAAAACATGTACCTTAACCTGTTTTAGATCATATATTAACTTATAAAATGCACAACTGGTATGTCAGCATTAATGGTAAAGGTTTTCTTGGTCTGGACCTTGGAGGTACAAATAACAGCTGGAGTGATGCGTTGGGTCGTATATTTTCACGTCTTGTCACTGGTAGAATAACTTCACGGTTAAAACTTTACACATAAATAAATAAAAAAAATACATCAATAATTTGGGTTGAGCTCCAGTATCAGTACTTGTAGTTGTGTTTATTTAACATCTTATTGCAGCATGAATTTCATCAGCTAAGTGCTAAACTTACATTTAAAAGCAAATTCTTCAGTGATGAATTTCCAAACGACACCAACTCGTTTACAAAATAAAACCTCCACTGTCTTCGTTTCTCTGTTTAGTTTGTTGTCGGCACATTGAAACCTGGGATATCCTCGGCTGGTGAGGAAACTCGGATGAGTCCTTGATTGTTGATATTTTGTGAGTCGCTTTACTCGGCTCAATGAGGAGGAACCTTTAGAAGTGGGACAGCACTCGGTGAAGAGCAGTGACGGATGCTGTCAACAAATGCACACTCATGAGAACCCAGCCTATGAACTGAGACACAGCCACAGATGCTGACAGAGAACTTGATTAGCAGGGCTCACTCTAGTGTTGTGTAACTCTATGATCTGGACTTATTTTTCCAGTAATCTTTTAGTTACCAGTATTACATTTGTGTCCTTGGGCAAGGCACTTCACCCCTAATGCCTCTGATGTTTGTCCCATCAGTATATGAATGTGATTGGCACTGATTAGTCTCCATAGGTGATTGTACATGTTAGCTTTGTAGAGACCTAATAGAGTGCTGTGTGAATGGGTAAGAGGACACAGATTGTAGTGTGAAGAGCTTTGAGTGTCCTGGATGGAGAGAGACGCGCTATATAAGTACAGTCTGTTTACCATTTACATTCATATTGAACCTAAATCACAGTTTAATTGGAACAAAATAAACAAGACTGGTAAAACCCAACAGCATGGTTGTCTTTGCCTAGCAGTGGGACTAACACTGCAGCTGCAACAGTTTTTAAGGACAGTAGTCAAACCAACACTATTTTGGATATACCTGACATTGGACAGTTCAATTCAGTTCAGTTTATTATATAGCGCCAAGTCACAACATACGTTGTCTCAGGGCACTGTACATAAAAAGAACAATCTAAAGAAGAAACCAGCAGATTGTGTTGAATCACTACATCACAGTCTCCCATCCTGAGCAAACGGTGGAGAGGAAAAACTCCCTGCTAATCAGGAAGAAACCTCCAGCAGAACCAGGCTCAGGACAGGAGACCATCTGCCTCGACACCACTCTCACTCCTGCTGTTCAGATAAAGAGCTTCTGAAGAGAATGTGGTTTCATATCATTAAATACTTTGGACATCTTGTTATTAAATAAGAATCAGGTTTAAAGCTGCTGTATGTAGTTTCTTGAGTACCCAAAAACTTAGAAAAATTTTGAACAGAAACAACCTTGTAGTCCCTCCCCCTGCTCTCAGCTC